CACAGCAACCAAAATCAGCAGCTGGTGTGTGGGAATGATGAGTTTGAAGCTATTCTATGATGCACTCCACTGCTACTTCCATAAACCATACCTCATGATATTCAGAAAATTGTTTTTCTCTCCTGAAAGTGCTGACTTATGCTGTAGAACAGTTCTGCAACCACTGATATCTTTCTGTAGACTTCAATCAGTTGTGAATTGAGCCAAGGTAGTGAATGCTATTGAACAATTTGACCATGGAAGGCACAGACAAGGTGGGTTCTCTCCTAACCTGTTACCCACATGATGCACTTTGCATCAGTGGTCATGGAACAGGAGCCTTTAGTTAATATTTTCCAAATGGTCAAACGTCAACTGTATTGTCCCTAGTCCCAAAATCATTCTAATTTTATCCTGTAGCACTATTTTAAAATTTAAAATTATACAGAGTTGTGCAAAATTCTCAAATTCAGTCTTAATTTGGAAACTTCTTCTGCAATAATAATAATCCTTGCATTTGATATAGCGCTTTTTCACATATTCTAGACGTCTCAAAGCACTTCACAGAATAGACTGTAAAGTGAATTGACTGTATATTTGTGGGCGAAACCGGACAGCCAATTGCCCACAGCAGTGTCCTACAAACAGTCATTGATTGAAGTGACCAATTTTATTATTTTTTTTTGAAGGATTATTATCAGGCATGTGGAATAAGGAACCTTTCCCAAGGTTTTGCCCTGCCGGGAATCAAACCCTGGTCTCACGCTTGCGAGGTGAGTGCTCTAACCACTGAGCTACAGGACTGTAGCTTTTAAAGTGAAACAGCTTCCAAATTAAGACTGAATTTAAATTTTTTCTATAATTTTCCATGAAGGTTTTAAAAGTTCAATGCTGGCTGCAAATAAAAAAAATCAGACCACTGGCCTATCTGATTTCACCATCCTGCACCTTTGTAGGTAAGTCTGACTGAATTACCACTCTTTTTAAACCTTTCTGCAGAGATACTTGGAATCCCAGTCAATGGGAGCAGATAGACTTGACGAGCATGGCGTTCCAGGGCTCCAATTCCCAACCCCGCATGAAGGCCACTATAAAACACAAGGTGTAGCTGTTCTCTACAGGAGGCATACTTCACGTTACCATGATATCATTAGTGACTTTTTATCCATCACGAAGGATCACTTATGTAGCAGGTTTCCTGACAAGTGCTTTCTTTCAAATGATATCATGAAACCAAAGTAGAAGAGAGATATTAAAGAAATAACTCTTTGCAGAAAAAAAGCAAATGGTTCATTTGCACTATACCTTCTCGCTTAATTTGGAACATAATTATTTTCAGCATTCTTCATGATATCAGTCAAAAATGTTTCTTCAACAATATTTATCATAGCAATAATAATCCTTGCAGTACCTTGATACAGTGCCTCAGTTTGTCATTGAAATGTCTCAAAGCACTTCCCAGGATATACTATAAAGTGCTGTGACTGTCGGTATTTTGTGTAGGCAAACATGCCTGTCAATTTGCACACAGCAGGGTTCCACAAACAGCCGTGGAACGAGTGATCAACAACAACAACAACAAGATTCCATTTATAGAGCGCCTTTCACGTCAGGAGGATGTCCCAAAGCGCTGTACAGTTGGGTCAGGACCTGAACAGGGGAGAAATGGTCAGGGTGAGGGGAGGGAAGGGAGGGAGCGAGGAGGGGGTAGAGAGTCGAGAGGGGAGCTGAAGGCTCGGTCAAAGAGAAAGGTCTTGAGACCAGCCTTGAAGGAGGAAAGGGAGGAGGCGGCGAAGGCACTGGGGGATAGAGTTCAAAGCCTAGGGGCTGAGAGGCTGAAAGCCCGGCCACCGATGGTAGGGCGGTTGGGGCGGGGGATGTGGAGCAGACCGGAGCCAGAGGAATGGAGGGTACGGGCAGGTAGGTAGGGGGATAGTAGGTTGGAGAGGTAGGAGGGAGCGAGGCCGTGAATGGCCTTGTAGGTGAGGTTGAGGATATTGAAATCGATCCTCTGGAGGATGGGGAGCCAGTGGAGGCGAGCGAGGGTGGGAGCGATGTGGTCGCGAAGCCTGGTGCGGGACAGTACACGAGCTGCAGAGTTCTGAATGACCTGCAATTATGTTTTATATTTTATAATGCAATGATCAATTATATTTGAAGAATTGTTGGCCAGGACATCAGGAGAAATTACTTCCCCTTTCTAAATAGTGCCATGGGATCTTTAATATCTACTTAGACAGGCAGACAGGACCACGGTTTTATGTCTTATCTGAAGGATGGCATCTCCGATGGCATCTGGAGCACACCTTCAGTACTGCATTGGAATGTCAACAGAGACTTTGTGAATTTCATGCTGTGACATGTGGCTTGAAACTTCTGACTCAGAGACGAAAGTTCTACCAACTTTGCCAGGCTGACACACATTATTTGAAAGAATGGATAAAAATAAAGAGACCGCATAAACCCACCGTTACCACCATTGCTCCAGACACTGAAATGATGAAAAGAGCTCATTTAAAATATATATGGCTAGGTGATAAAACCAGCACTTGTTCCTTTTGTTCCCTTTTTATGGCGGGTTGAAACTATTGATATGGAACATAAATGGCACCAGATGGAGAGCTCAAAGATTTTTGCAAACCGAAAAATAGCATTTTGAATTGGGTTGCTGATATAGCTTGAAAGAAGAACAGGAGTTTGATACGGATCGGTTTATGAATGAAAAATGAAAATACAGTATAAACACTGCTCTCAGAAGGTGCCTGCAACCTATGCGATTTACAAAAAATTAAGTTCAAATGTCAGATACATGAAGTATCTCTAGTGTTTGTGTCAAAGGCTTGTTCACTAATAATAATCCTTGATTTTGACATAATAGAATACAAATTTACATTTATACAGTGTTCCCAAAGCACTTAACAATCTTGACACCTGGATTGGAGATTTGAGCTGAAGGGGACAGAGAAGGCAGAGATGACAGAAAGCCTGGTCAAAAAGGTAGGTCTTGAGACGGAACTTGAACAAGGTATTCACATCGGAGGACCCACTCAAAGCATTTCACAGAATTATATATCTGGCATGGACTATCGCCCACCAGGTTGCAGCACACCTCTCCAGGTAAGCGGTTTTCCTTTCAGGGCTCTGCGACTGCCATTTTTTAAAAATCTGAAGCAACCATTTTTGTTCAGTAGATTTCAGGCTGTAAATTGGGTTCTAAGTTTTTTTGTTGTTGAATATTGATTTTCCGTGTTGACATTGGAAGAAGCGCCTAACGCCACGATCCTCTCGGACGTAAAGTTAACTATATCCTGAGTGGCCCAGCCACCTCAAGACTTGTCTGCCCACTCAGTAAGGGATCACTCTTGGTCAGGTAGAGCATTAATTTCAAACCTCCTCACCTGATCAATGCTGGAAAAAAAATACTCAACGTAAAAAAGAACTTTGTGCCCCTGATGTAGGTCATAAAAATTGATGCAAAAAAATCATCGGTCTCTGAACAAGACATGAAATTGCCCATTTCTGGATGAAACCTCCACCAGGAGAGTTGGATTGTCACCAACTGAGCCACAATTAATGTGGGTGTTAGTCTACCTTTCTGCCTCTATCTTTGACTGCAGGTCTACTCACTACTGTTCTGACATCATGCCTGTCAGACATCAATTCCTGAACTTTCTCCAACTTAGCATTGACAAAATTGAGGCAATCTTGCTTTGCTCCTGTTGGTCCCTCTTCACTTCAGGTGTTGATTGCACTGACCTCCCCAGTTGCTCACTCCAACTCATGGAATCCACGTGGAATCCCGGTGTTTTAATTGGTCCTCGAATCTCCTTCAGACCATTCATCCGACCTAGTCTACTTTCTTCCATCTTTGCAATATTACCATCTCCACCGCACCTCCAGTGCAATCGAAGCATTTATCCACACATTTATCACCTTGAGACTCAACTTCTCCAACAACCTACTTGATGGAACCTCCACCTCCAGGTGGCCTTTCCACTCACCCAGACCATCCAGAACTCCATTACTTTTAGGCTCCAGAAGCCCATTGCTCCATCGTCTCTCAGCTCTACAAGCTCCAAGCACCCAGCAAATCAACCTTAACAGCCCCATCCTCATCTTCCAATGTCTCTTCAGCCTTGCACCATCCTATCTCTTTAAACCATTGCAACCCAATTCCCTCAGCCATCCTCCACCAACTCTGGCATGCTTCATGGCTCCTACCCACTCTGCTCCACCATCGGTGAGCGAGCCTTCAGCCACTTTGCCACTTTCCTTTGAGTCTCTCTTCCGAAATCCCTCCACTTTGCTCTCTACTTTGAAATCCTGCCTGAAAACCTAGATTTTTGACTTTGGCCAGTTTGGGCTCTAGTTTAGCCTTTGTAAAGCCCTTTCAGATAATCTCCCAATGTGAAAGGTGCTCTGTAAGTGCCTTTGTTATTAAGGATTGCTTCAAACCTTATCCCATTAGCACCATTGATATTAACAAACACTGCATTTCTTCCTTACCCCGGTGGATAACTTCCTCTCTGTGACATCATGAAGTTCTCTCACTGATATCATCAATGGGAGCCCCTTCCTCAGCTATTGCCCCATTTATGACGTGACATGAGGCAGAGTTGCACACAAAATCCTCTCACCAAAAGAAACGAACAAGAGGCAACTGAAAAGAAACAGATTATAGTGCAGAAATCTCCCGTTATATTATTATTCCACCTTTAAGAACAGTCCCTGCTGCAGCAAACTCTTTTTGGAAAACCCATCTCTGCCTTTAAAAGGGAAAATTGACATCAGAACAACCAGGCTAAATATTTTAAAAAATGTTGCGCAAAGCTTTACTTTTCACATATGATTTAAACACGTATTTTATAGTCATGTTTAATAGAGGCAGAGCTGCTTTTGCCAGTTATCCTGTGAAGTGCCACAGCCTGGATACAAATTGAAATGTGTCATTCCTCTGAGCTGCTTGCAATTCCGATTTGGGACCTGATAAACAATTTGGTTAAAAAGGACACTTAGCTCACCAGTTTTTCGTAGGGGGAAATCATCCTTTGTATTGTGTATTCCAGGTAATGGCTGCTTGTATGATGGAGAAGTCCCACTCTGTGGTGGAGAGCTGTGGTCCAATGAAGCATGGTGGGCCCCCCTGGCACAGATACAAAGTGTAACAAATTAACACAACAATTTTCAGATTATACAATGAAATGGCAACACATGCTTTGCAAATTGCCTGCATCTCATCCAAATTAATGCTAAAGTACACGCATGGGTCTACATGTTCCCATCTCAATCGTTAAATTTTGGTTGAAACTAAAGATAAAAGTTTTGAACCTAACATCACTTTTGTTTTGTTGAACAATATTTTAAAAGAACGGCCCAACAAGACCGAGCACCTTCTTGGCATGCAGGATCACAACTCCATCAATCATAATGGGATCTGACATGCAGCAGTTTTTAAGAGGATTCATTGATATGGATTTCAAGTGGGGATTTCTTCCAGTAACTGGAAATACATCACACACATCATGCCAACCTTCAGCAACTCTGCATCAGAAGTCAATTGTGCCAGAGCAAAGTTCATAAGATTAGAAGAGATTCAAGAGATTGAAGCCAATTAGATCTCATCCTTCTAGGATACCTACCCTCCCATCCTCTCATCACAGCATCAGGCTGTTTTTAACTGAGTCCAGTACCTGGCCTCAGCCACCCAGCCTAGTAAATTATTACTTGGTAAACTGTTTCAGTCATTAATTATCCTCTGGTTAAATAAATACTTCCTGATCACTGTCCTGAAATCTTTGTCCTTTGCAACCCTAAATTGGTGTCTTCTTATTCTGCTGTCTTGTTGCAAATGTATTGTCCTGAGTTTACTTTCTACATCCTATTTAAAATCTGATATAAAGTCCCCTATGAGATGTCTTCTTCCAGGACTGCAACTTGGTGTAATGTATTTCACATCTTATTCCTTATTAAATCACCCCCATTTCAAATCGCCACAAATTGGGTGGAACTACATTTTGAATGAAACTAATTGAAATCAATTCAAAAAGCTCTCTTTCATTGTGAAAATAGACAAGCCACCGGTTGGATGATGGCCACACATATATACCAGAGATTGGGATGCTGAGGGAAGGAATGGTTCTGTCCACTGGGTGGAGACTCTTTTGTTGCTGATTTGTTCAGCAGGAACTCCTGCAGTTTCTGTTTGACTTCAGTACTGGCTACTGCACCTGAAAGAAAACAGTCACCATTCAACTAGTAATCTAACAATTGCCATTTTTTTCAGCCCATCTGTATGAGTTTCCTTTACGTGTATTTAGTGCAAACTTTAAACTTTAGGAAATATTTACAAATATATTGTTGTCATATTCAATCATTGTAAAATGTCATCCCTGAACACAATGTCCAAACCATTAGAAATATTTGATCAACATTAAATAGTTTTTTGTTGAAACTGCAAAATTATTACTTAACATTTACATATGACAGAAATATGGATATAAATAATGTTTCATCATGGTTCATGTTACGCATATATTGTATAAGTGGCAGAATGAATGCATTATTAATATGTTTTAAATTGTGTCATAAATAGTGTTTATTCCAAATTAATTGTGTTTGTTACACAATAGCAATAATATATCAAATTAGAGGAACATGAGGTAATTAGGGACAGCCAACATGGAATTGTTAAAGGCAAATCTTGCCTAACAAATCTAATAGAAATTTTTGAAGAGGTGACTGCGAGGGTTGATGAGGGAAATGCGGTGGACATTATTTACATGGATTTTAAAAAGGCTTTTGACACAGTACCGCATAAGAGGTTAATAAAAAAACTGGAGGCCCACGGTATTAAGGGGACAGTAGCCGTTTGGATTAAGAACTGGCTGAGTGACAGAATGTCCCTTAATCCCTTTTACAATAAGAAATCTATCTATCTCAGTCTTGAATATGTTCAAGGACTGAGCGTCAACAGCCCTTTGGGGTAGCGAGTTCCATATATTCACCACCCTTTGAGCGAAGAAGTTCTTCCTCAACTCAGTGCGAAAGGGCTGGCCTCTGATTTTAAGGTTGTGACCCCTGGTTTTAGTTTCTCCAACCAGGGAAAACAATCTCCCACTATCTACTCTATCATGCCCTTTGATGATCCTATAGATTTCTATAAGATCTCCTCTAATTCTTCTATATTCTAGAGAATATAGGCCCAAATTGGTCAGCCTATCCTCGTAACAGTAGCAGGAGAGCAAGCCTGTGCTCTCCGCCCGAGAACTGAACTGGCCAGCTTTTTCCCACAATCACGCAGCCCAAGTGTGCCGCAAAATTGACTGCAAAACTACTGTCACCGTGACCCAAATATTTGACTACTCATTGTTGGTTTTACAATAGCATTTGCTGGCATGAGTAGCTGACCTATCCCAGTGAGTACTGACTGAAAATATGTACGAGCACAGGGTATTTGGAACTGATTCATACCTAAATTGTTTCCTGGCAGTGTTGTGTACATATCAGAAGCATTCTCTGATGTTCAGCTTTGAACTGGAGCTTATTCTGTGTTGTGTAACTATTGACATCTGCTAAAGTTTTCCTTTCTGTGCAATTTGAGCTGGGTTCACAATTCACAGCCAGTGAAGAAAGGCGAATATCCTTACTTTTAACAAAATCCATTGTTTCATTTCCGTAATGAAGGTAAGAAATTAAGATCCACTGTTGCTTTTATTTGATAATATTTTGTACTGCGGTGTGAAACTCTACCATATAGATTGGGAAGGTCCCAATCCCAGTCTTTGGACTGTGCAGAATGAGCTGATCTGAACTGGGATGGCAGCACTGACACAATTGGTCCGAAAGTACTTTGGCTTGAAAGGAGAATAACAGCCAGAATACCTGCTTCTAAATGTTTTTAATGATCTCTATAGAAAAGTAGATGCCAGGTGAGAACAGGACTAAGCTAACCGTGATGACTTCCAATGTAGAGTATGAGATCAACCACATGTGTGCAAACTGCCAACACTCACTGTCTAAACTGACCCATAAAGAAAGGCTACTTGGGTAAAATACCAGAGTGTGGCTGGCGCCAGCGGAAATCCCCAACAGCAATAGTCAGTGCCTTCAGGAGAGGAAGGAATAAAATTGAAAGGAAAACATCTTTTGTCCTGGCTTGACTACTCCAACTGCCTGCTCGTTGGACTTCCCTACTCTTCCCTCCACAAGCTGTAGATTATTCAAAATTCTGCAGCTTGTTTCCTCTCCTGCACTAGGCTCCGTGAACCAATCACCCCTGTTCTTGCCCAGCTTCACTGGCTCCTCATTCCTCAGAGAATCGAGTACAAAACCCTCATTTTCACCTTCAAAGCCCTCCACAGTCTGGCTTCCGCCTACCTTTCTGACATCCTAACCCCATATTCGCCTGTCCGCTCAATCCGCTCAGCGGACACTGGCCTGCTTCAGGTCCCCTGCATTTCCCGCCCTGAGCATTCAGCATCTGTGCCCCACACTCTGGAACTCTATCCAAAATCCCTCCACCTAATCCCCTCTCTTGCCTCCTTCAAGTCCCGCCTAAAGACTTTCCTCTTAACTATGCCTTTGGCCACCCTACCAACCCCCGCCATCCACCCCTCCTGACTCCAACTCCCAGCTCGGGTCCAAAAACCCCTGAATGTCCAGTGCTTTGGGATGTCTTTCCAATGTGAAGGGAGCTATACAAGTGTCATTTATTGTTGTGTAAATTATTTATTAATGCTAAAAAACTACATTTTTAAAACAACAATAAATTACACTTGTTTAGCAACCTTCACATTGGAGAGACATTCCAGGGCGCTGGACAGTCAGTTGTTTTTGGACCCGAGCTAGGAGTTGGAGTCCGAGGGGTGGAAGGCAGGGGGGTGGTGGTAGGGTGGCCGAAGGCACAGTTAAATCTAGCAATTGTAAATTCAAGTGGCTTAGCTAGGGTGGTATTCATTTTTCTCTTTAGGTTCAAACACAGACTCTGAAATGCTGGGGAAAATTTTCAGTGAGCATTATGTGTATTATCTTTGGCAACATTAGGAGCCAATGGGACTTCCCATTGTAGGTCTCTGTGCATAATGCTCATTGGAATTTGTCTCCACCTATTCGTTACTCACTCCCTCTTAGAAAAATGTAAATGTACAGGACCACAAAAGACCACAGTGATCTATCTGGCCAGCCATAAAGTAAAGGAAATGCTGCAGTACTCTATCTTTCTACCATTTAAACAATGTCTTTGCCAAACTTCTGTCTAATTCTGTCTTGAATTTGTTGACATAATCTGCCTCACCTCCCTAGATAATCTATTCCACATATTGTCTTCACCACTTACTATGTAAAGTAATTAAATCTGAACTATCTGTTCACCTTCCCTCTTCTGAGCTCGAGCCTGTCTCTCTTCGTGTCTTTTCCTAACAGGTTTACAGTCTTTTCACAATGTCTATGAGTGGACATAAAATTCTGATAGGATATCCCTTGTGCTTTTCCTAAGGCATGAAATATTATATGAATTATATAATTTCACAAAACAGAAAATAAAAATCGTAGTGAATGTTTTAACAATTTCCTTCCAACAAATGATTTTTTAATAATGTCTTGTAAAATGACAAGAAAGCTGCATGTTTATTCCAATAAGTTTGGAATTGTGCTATTAATTTTAAGGGAAAGTGCTATTACAGGCACACACATGGGAAGAACCATGCTGTGCTCTCCAAGTAGGCTTGAGCTTGCTATCAATCAACCTACCAATAGTCTGTACACTGGTGCTTCACGGAAGATGCACCAGTTGGGTTTCTCTTTCACTTGCAACCAGTGGTATAATTGCATGTTCTCTTGTGTTTTGGTTTATAAATTCGTCATAAGAAAAAAGCACATTGATTGGACTGGGAACAACAGTCAGGAAGAAAAACGATGGTTACCCTTTGCACTGCCTGAATAATAATTTCAACAAAGTGTACTCAAATCATTAACCACTATCTGGCTCATGCAAGCCTCACCTTTATGGTACCATATTATGCCAATCATATTTGCCTCTGTAGAAGAAAATAGACAGCACTATTTGTTGCAAGTCTTATTCTGCCTCGCTAAAGCATTAGCTCTTAGAAGATTTACTCCTGGAATGTACACATTTTTGTGAGGCAGGGTGCACAAGACTGAACCAAAATACTGAATTACATACTTTCTCTGCCTCTCTCCTTATTTCGAAGAATTAGAAGGTGCTGTTCGCGCAGGTGTCGCCCCAGCTCTTGTTCCTGACGATGCTTTTCCAGTTTGCGTTCTTGCTCGAGAAGCTCCTGTTGATGTTGTACAGCTAGAAGTTCCTGTTGTTGCTTATAAACAAAGGACAGCTATTATGATAATAATATTAAGGTGACCTAATCAGACAATGCTTTCAATAGCAAGCTATGTGGTTTTAGTGAGTTAAACACCAGCAGCATCCCAACACACACTCAGGGGTTCCCCAAACCTTGACTCTTGCCAACCTGTGCCTCTGGAAGTAGATAAGGAGAATGTATCCTTCCACGGACTGAATGTGTATTCAATTCCAAAAATGGGAATTTGCATGTGTAGGTGGCATACATATGTCTGTTTTGGAAACACTTAAACATGGTGATTGGTTTCGGTATGTGTCAAGACACCCAGCTGACCAAACATAAAATAAGAGCACTGAAGCCAGCATCAGCATGCTGGTTTTGGTAGAAGAACATCAACCAGAGTTCTTGCGTGCGTGGGCACTATTGGGCCAAAAATGTTCATGGTCTCAAGTTTAAAACCATTGTCTCAGCATCCGAGATTGTGCAAAATGTTGTAAAATTCATAACTTGGAAGCTTTGCGGAATCCTGTAGAGAATTGATTAGAGCATTCGCCTTGCAAGTGAGGGGGCCTGGGTTTGATTCCCGGGCAGGGCGAAACGTTAGGCAGGTTTCCTTGCTCCACACGCTTCTGTTTATCTAGCAATAAGTTTACCTAGGAACCTGGTTGTTAGTCAATTGACAGATCACTTGTTTTTTTTTAAAAAATTTAAAAATAATAATTTGGTCATTGAATCCATGACTGTTTGTGGGACACTACTGTGCTTAATTGGCTGCCACAATTCACCCAAAAAATATACAGTCAATTCTGCGAAGTGCTTTGAGACGTATCGAAGAAGTGATAAGGCGCTATATCAAATGCAAAGACTTGTTATTATGCCTAGTTTTCTTTTCATAAGCAGCAGTAAACCAACTTCTAAATTGAATCTTGAGTTTAATATTGTTTCCAAAATTCTGTGTGATTTTAAGCAGTGCTACGGGTCAAGTCTAAACAAGTCTATGGGTTTAAGACTAAGACCATAAAAAAAAGATTCAGGCTCAGAAGAGGACTGGATTGAGATTCCCCGTGATTAATTCCACCATCAAATAACTAGCTGACAATCACTACCACGGCTCAGAAATCAATTAGGGCAAGGTAACCCCATGGTGACTTGTTCACATTGAATGATAATTTGTGGAGAATGGAAGAGGGAGTTAGGAGAGAATGGGAAGCAATAAAAATAATGGAGAGAATTGGGGCCAAAATAAAGTAAACTAATTTTTTTTATCATTTCGCATATTAGTTGACCTGAACAGTATTGACAACCGTCATGGGAAAGCACACAGCAAATTGTTTGCCTCCTTCCCTCCAGATAGAGTGGGTGGTGTTCCTCCTCTTGAAAGACAATGCAGACTGACTTTCAAGTGAAGGAACAAATGAAAGGAAAACTCATTTTTTTAAAAAAGGAATCTAACAATGTTAATTTTCTATTCTTTGGGGCCTTCTAAGCTGTATATCATAGGTTTGGGATTTTAGGGTGGCTGTAAATGTCAAAGGCTGGGAGGTGATGCAGCATGACTCAGTCAACAATCATTCAATTGTTTTCAGAAACTGTTGTGAGTCACACAACTTGAATTAAACCTTAATGACAGAAAAGGTCATTGACTGTTAGCTGTATCGGTGCCAGGAATTGCACAAGACACACTTGGGGGTACTTAATCCTAGGCTTTAACCATAGCACTCTTCTTTGAAGATGTGATCCTATAGCTGTGTTCAAGACAATCCACAAGACAAGCACTCCCAGTGCTCGGCAGCAAGCCTTGTTTTTTTCCACAGATTTTTCAAATGAATAAATAAAGGATACACAACAATGAACTGTGGCCTATTTAGTTTATTCCACCAGTGAGATTCAAGACCTTATGGCTCACAGATAATAAAATCATTGGTGCTGCTCCCTCCCAAGAACTCAGCAATGAACTCAATAACCCATTGCTCTATGTAGCACAGATAGTTTAATCTATTAAAATATTGGGGTGAAAAATATGACTTGACATGCTGTGAACAATAATGATAACATGTAGCATAGCCAGGCTAGTTTTCATGCCATGGCAAACTTAATTGGGACAATGGTAAAAATAATGCTAAAGTATTATCAGTCGGCAACTAAAGGCATTGAGGGGCTCACAGGATATAACCCTTTGCCTCTCTCTACCTCCCCCTCAACCCATTTTATCCTCTAAATCCTTCATGATAGTTGGGCCGGAAACTGGAGAGCAACTCCCATTAGATTTTCTGGCTCACAGGGTACTGGTTTTACAGTATAACTACATAACTCAACAAAATAAAAACGGATATTGGCAAGTCCCATATATGGAGAGGACCTAATCAATGTGACAGAATTGGGGAAAGGGTCAGAAACAGTTCATGTCATTAGCTATTGACTGGCTGCATTATTCAGTGATGTGATGATTGACACCAATTCATTTTCAACAATGCTAACTAACACATGATAGGTCACAATTGTCACGCCTACGATAGGTATAGAAGATTCTCTCATCAGCAAAATGTCATTTTTTTTGTTGGGTCCATCAGCTCAGTGCTTATTTTAAAAATTAAAATGAGGAAACATTGTTCCATTGTGTAAAAAGGGAAACGGAGCATAAGATTCATCCAATTATAGCCTTATCCAATTAAATTTGCATGGCATGAAAACTAGCCTAGCTATGCTATCTTTATACTATTCTTCACAGCAAAACATCATACAAATCATTTGTGAGTAAAAAAGAAAAATAGATCTTCACCCTTTGGATGATCACGACAATCAGCACCTTCAGTTACATGGTAATAATTTCAGGCAAGAGTAGAATATTGGTTCAACCACCCTACATCAAGCTCCCAACAAAATTTCTTCATTGCATTCATCGCTAAATTTAATAAATATTAATCTTTTTAGTTAATTGGAACTTGTCTAGTTTTTTTTAAACCCATTGTACCACCTGATTTTTTTATTTCGACATCTGTGTTAGTAGTTCGTTTCACGCTCATTCATGAATGGACACCTCAGAAAGCATAAAGAATTCTAACGGCTCTGCAGCACAGTGATCCCCCTATGTGTGGTGTATGCTACTATCAGCTGAATGTACCTTGAGGTGTTCCTGGAGCTGGACCTGGTGCTGTCTGGTGAGGGTCTCGTGTTGTTTCTGGAACTCGGCAAAGAGAAGCTGTTTCTGAATCTGGTGTTGTTGCTGAAGCAGCAGCAGCTCTTGCTGTAACTGACGTTCTCTCATTGCTGGGTCCACAGCTGGCATGGCACCCCGGAGATCAGTCCGCAAGTCAATTGGAGTGGCTGGCTGTAATGCCACTGGAAGCGATGAATTGACATCAACTGTTTGACAAGAAAACAAATTACAAATCATTACTTCTTCATTCTCTTACCGTATAATAATAGAATACAAATACAATACAAAATTACATTTGTATAGCACCTTTCACGTCAGGAGGATATCCCAAGGCACGGGACAGTCAGGGATTTGGACCTGAACAGGGGTTTGGGATCAGGGAGGGTGGAGGGCAACGAGGGTAGGAGGATGACCGAAGGCACAGTCGAAGAGGAAGGTCTTGAGACGTGTCTCGAAGGAGGCAAGGGAGGGAGCGAGGCGAAGGGAATGTGAGATAGAGTTCCAAAGGGTGGGGGTGGAGAGGCTGAATGCCTGACCGCCGATGGTGGGGCGGGACTGGCAGGGGACATGGAGCAGGCCACAGCCTGTTGAGTATAGGGGGCGGATAAGTCACTGTATCAAATGCAAGGATTAGTACTATGTACTTTGTTCTTCTTGTTTGTATCTCCTATTTAGCCACCTGCCACCTAATGAGTAAGGAGAGAAAGACAGTCTAAGCTCCATAAGTACCATTTTATTGTCACTCTGAAAGTAACCAGAACGAGGCATTGTTCAGATGATAGAAGGTGGTCAGTATAATTATTTTATGAATAAGATGCAAATTATCAATGTCAGAGTATAGAACTCACTCTTTATTCTAAGTCGGGAAGAGAGCATAGCTCTGGCTAGGCCATGCCTACAAAAAGGAATTCCTCATTTCCTCTAGTAATTTTAGCTCTTGATGATGCTGGTGTTACAGTAGTTATGCAAAACATTTAAATAATTTGTTTTCAATACTCATTTGTTGCTTTTTATTAATAACAAACATTTATTGAAATGTTTCAAAGCACTTCATAAGATTTACTGAGCAGTCTAGTGATTGTGTAATTGTAGAGTATTTTGCGAACAACAATGTCCCACAAATAGTAGTGAAGTGAATGCCCAATTTTGTCTGGGGATTGTTGTCTAACACACAAGGAGAAATACCATTGTCTTCAAATAATACTGTGGAATCTTAAATGTTCGACTGAATAGGCAGATGAGACCTTGGTTTATCGCCTCATCCTAAGGACATTTACTAAGTTCAACAAATTTGGTGCTGTGTGCTTCCAAATAGTTGCAATTGAATTTTAATACTAAATTAAATGATACATTCATCTAAAATATCTATAAACATACATCAGCAAATTCACTACATGAATTTGAATCACCTCAATGATGTCATTTCCAATGATATCTTGAAAAGTCCTCAACATAGATTTATGTTGTGTGGCCAGATTTAGGACAAACACAGAAATTTTCACCAAAGACTTTGATGAAGATATTGGCCCTCCGGGAAATAGATAAAGATAATAGCAAAACCAAATCCATTCATTTCAGCCACAGCAAAATCAAGAGTGGCAGCTAAAATATACATAACACATGAGATCAGAAACAACACAGAAAGTCACCAATATAAATAAATGCCTTCTGCACAGTTGCCAGTGCCATCTTTCTAGATGATCACTCAAATCTAAACAAAAATCCTTGCAGTGGTTTTCATGTCAAGAGGACGTCAAAGCATTTCACGGGATATACTGTAAAGTGTTGTCACTGTGTATTTTGTGATTCATGTGATGTTTACCCCATTTCTTTGCTGTAATTCTATTTGCATTGGTGCAAACAGACCTGGCCACTGAGATACAATACAAACTCACATAAATTGTATCAGTCAGGACCATAATATTAATATGACTTACATGAAGTACGCGTTGTAGGCAAACTTTAGAAGTCATAGAAAATCGGATTTAATCAACAATCTACACTGCACATATGTAATTTGGTGCGATCGATAAATGTGCATGGGGTAGTTTATTGTTGTAGCCGGTAAGTGCGCATGCAGTGACGGGTTAAGGCTACATTTCCTGCAATTCAATGCTTCATCACCCTTTACCACATACACACTTACCGGGAAACGTTGGAATCACGTTGAATCTTGGGAAATGAAATTCTCCTGGGCATGTGTCGACGGTTGAAGACTACATTTCTTGGATATGCCTCCATCTAAGCCCACACTGAATGGCATTTGGATGGATGTACGAACTAGGTGTGTACACGATTTATAAAGATAAGACTAATGCAAATTTTACTGTAGTAACATTTGCAGGTGTTTGTGTGTGCTTCTCATTTAGCTTGCAGTATTGCCACCGAAGTTAGGGCAGATTTCATATCAACATCACAGTAACAGCAGTGCAGGGCGTTCCAGAAGTACGGCTGCAGGAACTCTACAATATACAGCATCTCAGGCCAAAAATATCATATCGTTTTAGCCTTAAGACAATAACCTAAAAATTTAAGATTTTGCAGAAATTTTTAACATTTTAGAATTCAGTCGGTTAAATTCAGTTGCTTATCTGCAGTTCTTAAAAATTGTGGTAAACTGGATTGAAAAATAAGACGAAACTCAAGAATTTACCAAATTCTCATTTATCATTCTCTTTCTCTCTGCTGTCTCCCCTCTCTATCATACTCACTGATTCTGGGTCTCTTTCTCTCTCTACAGCTTACAGTCTTTCAGAGCATACCTCTACAATATATAAAGGTACTGTACTGAGCAACACTTGCCTTGCGAAGCTGAACATGCTGCTATTAGGGAAAATCATGAAATGATTAAAGTTATGTGTATAAAACATGCTCAAAATAACAAGATTGCATCCTTAACAAACGCACAAATGAGCACAACCCCATGTGAATTAAAGGACATGTGCATAATTGACGTGCAAATACTGTAACTGTTGTTCTATACAAATATAATCTGTGATGGGCATATTACGGTGCCAATCGCAGGATTTGTAAAAGGATTTGTAACTCGTTACCCATAGCTCGGGTGAATGGCCGTTTTCATGCCTTATCACTCTTAAACCTCTGTTAAGATGCCAACGTATTGGAAATCAGAGCTTAGATCAGTGTCTCATTGGAGATACAGAGGTTCACTCATAGCGCATCTGGGATTCACTGGATACAATCCTTTTGCATGTCCTGCAATTTCAACCTCCATTGTCAGAGCCTGGAGAATGCTTCATCTAATTCACAACATAGAAGGAAGAAATATCAGGGTAAATCTGTAACATTTCACAATAGACTTATTGTGATAATTACACAGATTTTTTAATGAAATTTTGCAAATTACCCTTCAACTTTAATAATTTTGTCATCCCAGCCAATAGCCAAGCTGCTAGACTCGGTGCCTTTCCAGGGATGAGATTTTATGAGCACACTGGGGAGACAGATTCTAGATCAAATGAAATATATAGAGCTGGGTTTGTTCTGGAAGGAATGAGACAGACAGAAGCAGTTTGCTATTTGCATTCATCCCAGTCACGAAGACCGAAAGATGTTGGGCTGGCTTCGGTTCAGATAAATATTTAAGAATAATATCTGATCGCTCCAAGAACGACAAACATTTGTTTGTCAGTTGAAAGATGTAAGAGTAGAAAGTGTCATATTTCTTGACCAACTCCTTGTGCTATTTAACACAAGAATGAAATAAGAATGAGCTTACATTTTTACCCCTTATTTTGTCAAGCAGTATCTAACTTTGAAAGGAATTTTGCTTTGAAAGTATCTGCTGAACCATCACAATAAAATGAATTTGTGAAATACAATTTAGGAAAGAAAATTAAAACAATTTTCACTTTAAAGATCACGCAGAGACTGAGAAGCAAAAGGAGCCCAATCTAGATTGAAACAAGTATCTACTATTTAGAAGCACTGAATAATGACAGCTGATGATACATATGGAGATTGTACCTCAATGTATAAGAACATAAGAACATAAGAAATAGGAGCAGGAGTAGGCCATTCGGCCCCTCGAGCCTGCCTCACCATTTAATAAGATCATGGCTGATCTAACCTAATTCAATTTATCCCCCCTACCCTTATATCCCTTAATCCCTTTAGATTTAAAAATCTATTGATCTCAGTCTTGAATATATTCAATGATTGAGCATCCACAGCCTTCTGGAGTAGAGAATTCCATAAATTCAGTACCCTCTGAGTGAAGAAATGTTTTCTCAACTCTCTAAATATATCTAAAGGTACTGAGTAATTCTGAATTGATGAATGCATCAGTGAGAAGGGAATAGAGGGATACAGAAGAGAGGAACATGAGGAGCGGATACTCATATGTGGAGTTTGAACACTGACAAGGACTAGTCGGGGTGAATGGCCTGTTTCCATGCCTTATCACTCTATGTAACATTCTAAGCAACTCTATCACAGCAAGTTTCATTGCACATTTATGCTGTCACTTCTACTTAAATGAAAACCAGATAAAAATATATTTCTAGTCAGAAGTAGGAAATTCAAAACCACCTTGAAAAACATGGCATTATCCTGCGTGAAATAGGGATTTTTAGAAGCAGGAAATGGAACACTTTGCCACTTCAATTTAAAATAGTCTACAGAAAGAAAAAAATAATTTTAAACATGAATCAGCAGAGAGATTGGGTCAAAGCAGATTTTATTTTCAAAGTTATTTTTAGGCTACTATTCAGAAGTGATAATGTTCCAACCATGAATTTAAAAGTAAAAAAAGAATTAAAATTTACGATTCAAAAATCAAAACTAATCGCTGTTAAAGATCCATGATGGGAGTGATTCCATTCTGAAACAGGTGAGAAACTATTGCCCAAAGAAGCCGGCCAATAAAGGCCTGACAATTATCGATGGTCATAAGCATCACATTACATAATTGCTTTGTGCCTCTCACATTTACCCACCCTATCACCATCAGCAGTCAGGCTTTCAGCTCGTCACCCCCATTCCCTGGAAGTCCATCCCAAAGTCCTCACTTCATTCAAGGTCTGCCTCGACACCTACCTCTTTACCCACGCTTTTGGTCATTCTTTCCCCCTAACACCGCCCCACCCCCCACCCCACCTCAGCTCCTAGCCCCAGCTCGTTTGCCCAGATATTACTGTTACGCTCTGTGGGACGTGAAAGCCGCTACATGAATGTAAATTTAACA